CCGGTACGGTATTAGTGGTGATGAACAAATTTAGTAAATAAGTAAGTAAGTTTATTCAGGTATACACAAATACAGTTACATAGAATTATCATACATAGCAGCATATGTGTAGAGAACCTGGGATAACCCAAAAAAGTCAGACAGAGTGACTTATTTCCATTGTGGTCCTTTTACCTTATTATTATAATATAAAGGTTATAATATTTTCTTATTATTCTATAATGAAGATAACATCTTATTATCATACTAAGAAGACTATCTACTACACGAGGGTCATTAAGACTATCTACAATACGAGGGTCATTACTAGGGATAAGGTAAAATTTACACGTATGTTAGCTAAAAAATAGAAAATCATTCCCCTCCCTTTCTGTAGCTACATTCATCATACACCTTTTGGCACTCTTCTTGAACTGGTTCATGCTATGACTGGCTTTGTCATGTGCGGGTAGTCTGTTCCATTATTTTATTGCTGTACAATAAAAGGTGTTTAAAGCCTGGCCAATGACTGTGGGTACTACAAAGTTGTGCTCCCTCCCCCTAGTATTATGATTGCTTTGGTTCCCAACCAAATTTTATAAACATGATTTAGCTTCAGTTGTTTTACTCTGTCTTCAACATTCAGCATATCCAACTGCTGTAATTCATTATTATGTGAGCAATATGGATTGACAGTTCAGAAGCACCATCTTTCAGGAACTTAGACGGGATGTTATCCGGGCCGGTGCTCTTAGTTGGGTTTAACCTGCTTAGTTTGGGGTTACCCCTTTATTGGTATAGTATGTTTGAAACTTATCAGAGTCTGTGTTAAAGGTATTTGATGCAGCTGGTAGTTTACTTACTAGTGCTGATGCAACAGATGTGTACTAGGAATTAAAACAAGTTGCCACCTTAGATGTTTCATGGCATACCTCTTTATTGATAGTGAGTACTATGTTAGATCTATCTACTGGTTTATGGCTATACCCCAACTGTGACCACGGTGTAATAGCGCACAAAATGGGTGACAAAGGAATAACAAGAAAAATTGGGAGATGGATCTATAACATTCTAACAAATAGAACACAAAATGTAATAGTAAAAAGAGTAAAATCTGAGGCGGCTACAGAGAAAAGCTCTGTTCCACAAGACACAGTACTCGCTCCCATCCTGTTCCTCATCCTCGTTAGGTTAGGTTAGGTTAGGTAAGGTTCGTCAGGAAACAGGACAAATGTTTCCTGACGCGGGTCTTAGTCAGATGATGACCCGCCTTTGGAGCTTTTGGTCATCTGACCGAGGCCTTCCGCTGGCTTACCGGTCCACCCCTTTAAAAATTATGGTCATTTATAACCAGTCATCCTCGTATCTGACATAGACAAAGAAGTAAGCCATAGCTCCGTGTCTTCCTTTGCAGATGACACTCGAATTGCCATGGCATATATATATATATATATATAATATATATATATATATATATATATATATATATATATAATATATATATATATATATGTGTGTGTGTGTGTGTGTGTGTGTGTGTGTGGTATGCTTCTAAACTGTTGTATTCTGAGCACCTCTGCAAAAACAGTGATAATGTGTGAGTGTGGTGAAAGTGTTGAATGATGATGAAAGTATTTTCTTTTTGGGGATTTTCTTTCTTTTTTTGGGTCACCCTGCCTCGGTGGGAGACGGCCGACTTGTTGAAAAAAAAATGTATATATATATATATATATATTATATATATAATATATATATATATATATATATATATATATATATATATATATATAATATATATATATATATATATATATATATGCAAAACAACCACTCTGAAAGAATAGAGAAATTCCAAGCGCTTTCGTGACTACTCACATTATCAAGGAACTATGAAAGTGAAGCATCCAAGGAAGCTATATAAGGGGTCGGCCAGCACCTCACTATCAGATCCCACAACGGTTAAACACGTGACGCGCGGCGAGCCAACTTGGATAGGTCCTTTGCAAAACTCACCCCCAAGCTATTTATTTGTCCAGTGTATTATTAAATTCTACCCAATTCTATTAATTATAAATGGATCTAATTTATATAAACCAAAGGAAATATTCATATTATTGTCAAAACTGCTTTTTATGAAACAAGATTCAATTATATTCCTGTCGACCATGGACTTGCTTGATACTACTTTCTCAACTTTTTGAAAATCAATTGGATGGTTAAAATCTCTTACATGAATAAATAGAGCATTGGAATCTTGTCCAGTTCTAATGCTATATTTATGTTGTTTTAATCTTAGTTCGAGATTTTTACCAGTTTGACCGTAATAAACTTTATCGCAAATTTTACAAGGAATCTTATAGACACATCCATCAGCATTTGGGGGGAATTCTTAATCAAAAGTTTTTTTACTGTATCAAGATTTTTGAATACAACTTTAATATTAAAAGTCTTAAGAAGAGAAGGCATATCAACCAAGTTTTCATGGTAAGGAGAACCAACATATTTTTAGTTGAATAAGGCTGGTTGCCCTTTTTTGGATTATAAAAAGTGTTCCTAGCAACTTTAAAAGATTTATCAATTACATTTCTTGGGTATTTTAAATCATTACCTATTTCATAAATTTTGGATATTTCCTCATCTATGAACTCAGGACTACAAATTCGTAAAGCTCTCAAAAACATTGATGAGAAAACAGACAGTTTGACTCTATCTTGATGCGAGGAATAATAGTGGACATAGGAACAGTTATTTGTAGGTTTTCTATAAATTTTAAATTTGAATTGTTGGCAAAATTTCTAACTTTAATGTTTAAAACAACATAGACTTGGTTGATAAATTAAGCTCCTTGACTGACTTAAATGATTTTAACATGGTTAGTTTTGATGTTACTTCCTTGTTTACGAAAGTTCCTGTTGATGATTTATTAAGTTTCTTATCTGAAGAACTCGTTAACTATGATTTACCATTGCCAGTTCCTACTATCATTAAACTTATTAAACTTTGCATTGTTGATGCAAAATTTGTATTTAATGATAAGTTTTACACTCAGAAGATTGGTATGGCAATGGGAAATCCTCTTTCACCTGTGCTTAGTAACCTATACATGGAATTTTTTGAAACAAGGTTGCTTAACACAATCCTCCCTAATAGAGCTAAATGGTTCAGATATGTTGATGATATTTTGTGTCTTATGCCCAAAAATGTAGGTATACACCATTTCCTTGGAAAATTAAATAGCTTAGCCCATTCTATAAACTTTACTGTTGAGTTTGAAGAAAATAACTCATTGCCTTTTCTATATGTTTTAATTATTAAGGGTAATAATGAATTCAAATTTAAAATTTACAGAAAACCTACAAATAACTGTTCCTATGTCCACTATTATTCTTCGCATCAAGACAGAGTCAAACTGTCTGTTTTCTCATCAATGTTTTTGAGAGCTTTACGAATTTGTAGTCCTGAGTTCATAGATGAGGAAATATCCAAAATTTATGAAATAGGCAATGATTTAAAATACCAAGAAATGTAATTGATAAATCTTTTAAAGTTGCTAGAAATATCTTTTTACAATCCAAAAAGGGACAACCAGCCTTATTCAACTAAAAATATGTTGGTTCTCCCTTACCATGAAAACTTGGTTGATAATGCCTTCTCTTCTTAAGACTTTTAATATTAAAGTTGTATTCAAAAATCTTGATACAGTAAAAAAACTTTTGATTAAGAATTCCCCCCAAAATGCTGATGGATGTGTCTATAAGATTCCTTGTAAAATTTGCGATAAAGTTTATTACGGTCAAACTGGTAAAAATCTCGAACTAAGATTAAAACAACATAAATATAGCATTAGAACTGGACAAGATTCCAATGCTCTATTTATTCATGTAAGAGATTTTAACCATCCAATTGATTTTCAAAAAGTTGAGAAAGTAGTATCAAGCAAGTCCATGGTCGACAGGAATATAATTGAATCTTGTTTCATAAAAAGCAGTTTTGACAATAATTGAATATTTCCTTTGGTTTATATAAATTAGATCCATTTATATAATTTAGAATTTGGGAAGAATTTAATAATACACTGGACAAATAAATAGCTTGGGGGTGAGTTTTGCAAAGGACCTGTTTAGGTAAGACACATATGCAACAGTTAGGTATCTTTATTATGAAACGTTTCGCCTACACAGTAGGCTTCTTCAGTCAAGTACAGAAAGTTGATAGAAGCAGAAGATACTTGAAGACGATGTAATCAGTCCATCACCTTAAAGTTTTGAGGTGGTCAGTTCCTCAGTCTGGAGAAGAGCATTGTTCCATAGTATGAAACATCCTGTCACTTCATCTCCATATTGTTTCATACTATGGAACAATGCTCTTCTCCAGACTGAGGGACTGACCACCTCAAAACTTTAAGGGTGATGGACTGATTACATCGTCTTCAAGTATCTTCTGCTTCTATCAACTTTTCTGTACTTGACTGAAGAAGCCTACTGTGTAGGCGAAACGTTTCATAATAAAGATACCTAACTGTTGCATATGTGTCTTACCTAAACAACCTGTCGGTATTTTATACCATTTTAATGTGCAAAGGACCTATCCAAGTTGGCTCGCCGCGCGTCACGTGTTTAACCGTTGTGGGATCTGATAGTGAGGTGCTGGCCGGACCCCTTATATAGCTTCCTTGGATGCTTTACTTTCATAGTTCCTTGATAATGTGAGTAGTCACGAAAGCGCTTGGAATTTCTCTATTCTTTCAGAGTGCTTGTTTTGCATATTTTGAAATCACCTGTTTACTGTGATCTTATTGCATATATATATATATTATATATATATATATATATATATATATATATATATTAATATATATATATATATATATATATATATTATATATATAATAATAAGAAAAAAAACGAAGATAGGGAAAAATGTTTGGAATGTAACAGATAAATGCCAGGATGTCAGAATGAGTAATGTTATATATCAAAGAAGCACAGTTAATTAAAGGTAAATAGATTTTCGTTCACCAGGTCAAACACAGGAGCAGTGTCAGCAAGAAAGGCATCGACATTGATAAACTTGAGGAGCAACTGAGCCGTCTGGAAACTGAAAAGGTAACTGTTGATCTGAACGAAATCTTATCTTATCTTATCTGTATCGTGGTGTATATCCTTTGCGTATTACATTGACATGGTATGTAGACATTGTTTATGCTTTCGTGATGACGTGTATAGACATGATATATGATCCTATAGTGTGTAATTAGGCATACGCAATTTTGCAGCAACGTCGAGAATATGTAAGTGTGTGTGAATATATATATATATATATATATATATATATATATATATATATATATATATATAATATATATATATATATATAATATATATATATATATATATATATATATAAATAATCCAGTATTAACATATGTAAAACCTGAAAGATAATTAGTATTTAAAAATTGCTTAATTGAAGTTTGTGTATACAGGACATACAAGCAGAAGACATTAACAAGAAAAACTCTGAAATTACCAGACTACAAGATGAGCTACACCGTCTACAGTACGAGAAGGTGAAGTGAATTTATGTATGACATCAGTGGTTTTTTGTAACATTTGTAAATGTGTCGTATACTCCTACTGTCACATAATTACTATACATAAAATTTGCTTTAAATTTTTATATATGTATGAGATTTAAATGCCAATTTGTAATTTTTAAAATATTTTGACGTATTAGTTTAGTGGTTATATTAAGCTTTATTTTGTCCTCTCCCGGATTTTCCTGCCAATACTTTTTAAGATATTACTGGAAGGGTAAATATACATCACATCGTCAGTGTTGTTCATAAGTTTAGTTTTTGACCAAAAACTTGACGAAACTTTATTTTAGCAAAATCTTTTATATCTTATAAATTTTTACTGAGTTTAACTAAATATTTTTGAAAAGTTTTAGGTAGTGGAATCTCAGTTTAAAAAGATTTTTCGGAAGCAAAATTAACTTGCGAAGTGAAGCTTTTGTGGGTATACAGTTCCTAAATATTCAAAATGCTTAAATTTACACAATTTTAATTTGATTTTTTTGTTTGTGTAATTTTAAGTGAAAAAAGTTTGTTATTAACACATAGTCTCAGAATTCTGTAATTTATTTACTTATACGGGTTTAATTAGTTTATTCAGGAAAAAATCCCAAAAAAAACTGAAAAAAACTTTTCATAAAAATTGAAATATTTTTCCCTTTTAGGAAACACGAAATTACAAACACAATTAATAACGGATTAGGAAATTTGGGAAAAAAAATTGGGGCAGTTTGTGCGAGAAAAATTCGTTAGACAATCGGGCGTTGGGGGGAGTATTCAAATTTTTTTTTTTAACCCACTTTAACCAGACATAAATTCCGAAAAGAATTTTTTCAGGGAATCTTCTGAATTTTAAAGGGTTTCCCATTTTTTTTTTTTTTTGATGCCGGTGTTCAGACAGAATGCAGATATTATGACCCTTGCAAAGTGTGTGTGTGTGTGGTGTGTGTGTGTGTGGGTGTTTACCACCCTTTTTTACTCCCTATTTGGGTCGCAGGGGGCGGTCTTGCTCTGGCCCCGCCCTTCACCCCTTGCTACTGGGGCCCCCTCTCTCCCGCTCCCTGGGCTTTATCAAAACCTCGTCTTAAAACTGGTCGGTTTCCTGCCTCCACTACGTCATTTTCTAGGCTTTCCACTGACTTTCAACCCATGATGAAGAAATCTTCCCAATACTCTCTGATCATTTGTTCTTCAACTTCCCAATTTTGGCCTCTTGTTTTGTGTCCCCTCCCCGGAATTTCCCGTCTTTGTCCACCTTGTTTTCCCCGCAGTATTTTATTGTTATTGCTCCCCTGACCCTCCTGCCTCCCGTGTCGTCGCCGATTTCCCTTAAACTTTTTTCATAGGACTTCCCCTTAGTTGGGAAATAAACCCTTTTCGCAAACCTTTGTATTTTTCGTTTTTGACGGCTTTTCAATGCGGGTTCCAAACAGGCTGTACTCCAGTTGGGCCTGACATACACGGTGTACAGTGTCTTGAACGATTTCCCTTTCTAAGGTATCGGAATGCTGTTCTAGGTTTTTCCAGGGCCCCCAATTTTGCAGCAGTTACTGGTTGATGTGTGCTTCCCCGGGGGAAAATGCCCTGTTATAGTCACCCCAAAACTTTCTCCCTTTGGGGAGGTTTTTTCAGTCTTTTTTGGCCCCCCTAGCCTTTCTCGGTCTGTGGTCTTCTGTGCCCTTCCCCCCTTTTTCATGACTTTTGCATTTGGCAGGATTAAATTCGAGAAGCCTTTGCTGGGCCCGGTGTCCCGTCTGCCAGGTCTCTTTGAAGTCCTGGTCCTCATCAGATTTAATTCTCCTCTTTAACTTCAATATCTCAAACGGGGACCTTCTGAGTTTAACCCTTCCATCATTCGTTCACATATCCCAAAAAATAGCACTGGTCCTGGGACCGACCCCGTGGGACCCCCGTCGTCACAGGTCCCACTGGAACACATTACGACCATGACTCTTTTTGTCCCCCCTGCATTTTCTCTATCCATTGCAGTCCCCTTCCGTTATACGCCTGATCTCTAGCTTCTGCACAAATCTTTTGTGAGGAACGTTCAAAGGCCTTCTTGCAGTCCAAGGATGCAATCAACCACCCCTCTATCTCGTGTTTTTACTTCTGTTTTTTTATCATAAAACTCCAAAGTTTGTGACACAGGATTTCCCTTCCCATGAATCTCGGGTTCTTTTATACTCTTTTTCCGTTCCGGGTGCCCCCACTCTCCCCCTGATAATCTTCTCCAAATTTTGCATACATACACGAATCCCGGGGCCCCATATTTTTAGTCCCCTTTTTTTCTGTCTCCTTTTTTTAAAAAGGGAACTACTTTTGCCGTCTCCATACCTCAGGTAGTTGCCCATTTCCGGGGACGTGTTGAAGATTGTTAATGCACGCACAACATATCTGCTCCCCCCCTAAAGACCACGGGAATTTGTCCGTCCCTTTCCCTTTTATATCGTTTCCCCTTAGCAGTTTCTTCACCCCCTCCTCATCTGTATGTTGTCTCCAACACTTTTGGTGTATTCCCTTCTGGGGTTCCCCCCTCTGGGCTTCCCCCCCCAAATCCTTCCTGACTCACTGTAAAAACTTTCCCTTTAAAACCGTGTTTGGCTCCTCACAAAACCCCGATCGTTCTTTTGGTTTTCCATTCTTTCCTCCCTTATCACCTGGGCCTTGACGTTGTCTTCCTCCTAAGTGGGTATACAGCATTTTGGGGGCAATTGACTTTCCCCATCTATGTCTTTTCAAACTGTCGCTGGGCCCCCCCTCCCCTTATCTGTGCTACTCGTTTCTGGCTCTTTTACTAACTCCTTTTTTTTCCGGGGCCCATGCCTCCTGTACCCTTTTCCTTCTCTGTTGCCTTAGTTTTTCCTCCCACACCCTTTGGGGGAAACCCAGGACTCTTTTGGTCTTCCTATTATTTTTGTTTCCCTTGGGAACAAAACTTTCCTCGCCTCTTTTTGCACTTTGTTGCCACATATTCCATCATCTCGTTTTTCTGATTTCCCCACCCTTTCTCTGTCCCACTAACCTCCGCAGGAAGTTTCTCATACCTGTGTATCCCCCCCTTTTTTAGTTTGGCCTGACCCCCTTTATTCCTGTTTCCTTTCCACTTGTCCTTACTATAAAATCAAACTCCACCACGATGCTAGCTCCAAGGGGGCCCCTTCGTAAGTGATTTCCCCAATTTTGACCTCAGGGGGAACACAAATCCCCTCTTGCTGGCTCTCCTCCCCTCCTCTCTGGGTTTTGTCCCTGACATTTGATGCTGAGGTTTTTAAGTACTACATCCATCACTTGGGTCCCATGTTTTGGGGCCCCCATTGGCTCCCGGTTTTTTCCCCTCATCTCCCGTGGGGTTTAAATCGCCCATTCCATAACTTTCTCTGCTCGAGTGAGCTCTTCTTTCCACCTCAGCCAGTTGTCCCCATCACCCCTTTTTTTTTCTTCTACTCCTCTCTTGGGCCCCCTCATTTTTGTGGGGGGGTTTAACCACCCATGATACTTTAGTTCTCCGGGCTGAATTTTACCTACAATAGCCCTTTCCCAAACTGTCCATGCCTCCATTTCCTCAAATCCCCA